GCCATTAGAAAAGGAAGTCAAAGAAAACTAATTCATGAATATAAGCAGAAGAAAATGTCCATGTTTCACGTTTGTTTACACTGGTAAAATGGAATTTTGCCATCTGAAATTTGAGTAATTGTCCAATTTCTGTTGAACTCTTGGTAATAAAACGATTGTCGCAAATTCGGAAGAAAACTGGACAAATTATCGAATTTGTAGGGTTTCGCTGATATTTTCACTTCATTCCACCGTGATTCATCTGCAAACCGGAATGTCGACAATATTGCTTATTGTTAGAATGCTAGTGGAAATTGGATAAATTGCCGAAATTCAGACGACAAAATTCCACACAACCTTCGCACTAGCGTCACTATACTAGTGAAAGACTGCTGCTTGAAGAACAACTATCACTATACAGCAATAGAATGCCGATCAGAATATAGCCGACTGTTTCGATATATGAGACTGCATCTCACCAATACGTTGTTTATTTCAGACAAAACTATTCAGCGATCTGAATAATGTAGTCGATCATCGAAACACTGATCTAATATAACTACCAATTCTAGTATCTCTGAGATATGGAAGATATAGAGACATAAGCATACGTCTCCTATATTTCCAACATTTAACCAACCCCTCATGATGGAAAAACTTTGTAGTTTCTGATTTTCAAATCCTTCATAACTAGAGATCAGTAAGGATTAAGTTTGGATCACCTGTGATTTTGAATTTCATGATGTTGCTCAGCTTTTTGTTTATAGAAAAAAAGTAGTTTATCAAGTAAATATTCTCCTGTCAAAATATCTAAAATAAACATGAGATCAAAAATTTCTAAATATGATTAGAAAAATATCTGAAATGTAGTTTTAGTTCTCTTTTCAGAAAGTCTTTTTCAGAGAAATATTCATCGGATGATTCTGCTTCGTAAAAAGGAAAATTCACAAAACCATAATAAATCCTGAATTTCTCTAAATAATTCTTATATCGACTCGATACTAATTATAATGAGATTGCTTGAACTTTCTATGCTTATGGGAGCAGGAAAGACGAATAATGTTATGATAAACTTGTAGTATAATGTAAGCAGTACGCCATAACATGCATCCGATTGTTTTGAAAAAAAATATAAGAAAATATTTCGTCGACATTAGAAAATCCATACACGAGCATGCAGCTATAATTCGTTAAATGTCATGTGAATTGACATACCAGTTGTAAAAAATCTACAAAAATCTGTATATTCAGATTTTCATCGGAGGATCATTTCCAGTGGATCAGAATCAATAAACTAGTTGTCTTACGTGACTAGTTTTTAAACACCTGACGTAACTGTTAACAATGATATACATCTGGATATTCAGAAATAAAGATAGTTAGTTTTATAGTTTGTGGATCACGTTATTCGTTGCGGCTAGTTAAAGTAAGAAAAGTATTATATTGAAGTACTCTCTTCAGTATATCTAAGAGTAAATAAGAATACGAGTACGATAACACTTTCCGTTGAATAAAAGGCACAAAATAGAGAACTGAGAAACTGAGTCATTAGTTACCTCTAACTGTTATAACTAGACATGTACTAAATCCTGTTATTGTGTACCAAAGATCATATATTTTCGATTGGAAAAAACTCCAAAATTGAGGAATCTTTTGCAGTGATCCTTATCAGCTGTATCTATTCTATAACAAACTCGAGCCATATATTCTCCAATTTATGCTAATGTTCTCGGATTCGACGAGGTTCAATCATAACTTTCTTTTTTCCAAATTTCGAAGGGATCTCGGTCAACTCTGGATTTAGTTTTTTAATTTCATGAAATAGTACACTCGCTTCTGATAGAGTAGACAGATCTAGGGATGCAACGGTGACAATAACCGGTCTATCGGTAACCGGTATGAACCGGTAACCGGTAACCGTTGAACCGGTAACCGTTGAACTGGTAACCGACATAAACCGGTAACCGTTGAATCGGTTATCGATTCACTTGCATAGTAGTTTATGTTTAAAACTATATATTGAATAAAGCAGGTATCCATAATCCCTCAATTCTTATTTTCATGTAAGGGTACCTAGACTACCTCGAATCCTATATAAGAGGGGAGATACCTAAGTAACCTCAAATTCTATATACGCGGAGTGGCTAACAGTTCTCAAGTCTTATATGTTGGGGTACATAGTGTACCTCAAGTCTCATATAAGGGAAGTATCCAAGACTGCTCAAGACTGGAGATCAGGGACCGTTTATTAGTATATCATCGTAGCATATACAAAATGAAATTATAATATGAGAATAACAGAAAAGTTTTATCTGACTACACAAAATTCTTTATGCATCAAATAATATTTTCAAAATGCAAGATTTATTGATATTAGTGACACTTCATGTATAGAAAAGAGCAAAGTTATCGGAATAATGTTCAATATAGAACGTTTCAAACAAGAATAACACAGATATCGTACGATTGAGAATTCAAAAATGGTATATATCAAAAAGCTCTGATAGTTTATATGATTTTGCAAAGATCAGGATAAAATTGTGATCGATCGTACTTTGAAGAAAAATCGTGATCGAAGTTAGGTTCTTCTGTGTATTTTTAAATAAAATATTTATTGTTACGTTACATTATATTAATTGATAAATCAACGTGCCAAGTATATATAAACTGATGGCTTCATTTTCCAAAATAGTTCTTGTTTTTAAGACATTGATTGACAGAATACCTTTAAAATCTTTTACAATTAAGAGTTTAGCATATTTTATACAGACTTTCTCAACACAATCATAAAGAATCATAAACGAAAGACATATTTGATTTAGGTATGAATGTCACTACCACCACATAATTGGAATTGGTCAATTTTGAAAAAACGATCGAACGAATTTTTGCTTCATATTCACTGGATACAAAATAAAAATTTGTCTTTTCTTTGTGAAAGTAGTTTATTTCTCAAAAAGTTTCGTGATAAATAGTTTTTTTTAGATTTAGGATTACATGCTTCAATTAATTATTGACTAATGTAAATTCGAAAAACTTCTCACTAGTTCAAAGTCATCTATCTATAGTTGCCATTCTATTGATAATTTTACTATTTATTTGAGATTTTAGTTGATTCTCTTCCTGTTAAGTTTTCTGTTTTTAGATATACAATGAACTGTTTTTAAAGTGTTAGTTTTTGCATACGATAGCTTCATCCTTTTTTTTTTCTTTTTTTCAAATGTTTTTATCATTTATCTATGAAAAACTACATATTATGTTATTTTTTTTTCT